GTATGTGCTTATGTTAACAGACATAAGTACATAGTATGTGAACTAATTAAACGTTGAAAGGCTGGAGGCAGAAGGTTAACAAGATCGAGTTGAAAGGAATAGAAGGGGAACTAGAAAAGAATTATGAACTGGAAGAATCATAAAGAGTGTGAAATTTTCAAATGAAATATTCATTATATGGTTCTCAGATTTTATGAAGATATTCTGTAATTTTATACCATAATACATTAGTTTTCCCTCCACCTGTGTTCTCGTTTATTACCCTATCACTATCTAACCAGCCAATTCATTTTGTAAAATTACAAAATAATAAATGATATATATAAATGTAGATATAAAGGGAAACTCTATAAAACTATAAAATTATTAGATAATTCAATGAAAATCCATTTGTTTCGATGATAAACCTCAAAGATTATCATGAACAATCAACATACTTCTAATGTCACATAATCTTTCTTTGTCAATGGAATATCGATTTCATAACCAGCTTAACTGGGAAAGGTTAACTGAAATAAAGTCAATCAAAATGATATATATGTATATATATAAAAGACAGTGTTATTGTTACAGGAGAATATACAGGCTTACAATATTAAAACATTTACGATGTATTTGGTCGTATATTCATCATATTATCTATTTCTATTTCTATCTATTTAAATGTAAATAGGGTGAATAACAAAGAAGGTAAACCTTGTATTTCTCACTCCTTAATACACATACACACATAGATACACGTATATATGTTAAAGACAGAAAGAGGTTCAGAATCTACCACGAAAGCCGTTCTTTACAAAATAAAAAAAATTTAATAATGATTACAGTGGGTGTGCAAGAAAAATGAAGGAAAAAACAAAGACAGAAAGCTTATTGCGTCATAGAGAAAAGATAGAACGGTGTGTGTGTGTGTCGATGTATGTATATAAGGAGAACGTTACCATTAAAACATAGATCATTATCCTTGGTAATAATTACATAAAAATGGTATGTTCATTAAGAATCATATTTATATTTTAGTATCAGAAGGGGTGAGATAGTAACTTACTGACGACAATGGTGGATGTGTCGCTCAATTTCGTGGATTAGTTGAAGTTGGACATTAACACCGTTGGATGCTGGACGACTCAGTGATCTTAATGGTTAAGCGCTCGCGCACGAACTGATAAGTCCTGTGTTCGGATCCTGCGAGGCCAGGTCGTAGATGCGCACTGCTGAGGAGTCCCACAGCGGGACGAAACGGCCGTCCAGTGCCTTCAGGTTTTCCATGATGGTTTAGCTTCAACTGAATCATGATCTCATACATTGATATTTATATTTTGTCATTTTATAAATTGTGTTCAAGGCTCGGATTTAAAAAATTGCATTCAAGGAATGTAGACAGAGAAGTTGGTTGGTAATTTGTAGTGCAAAATAGTGTGTGCAATTACCTTATTAGGAAGCTATGACTCTCTATGAAGTCCGCTACATACAAAGTAAGATATTGACAGATATATGATAATGAGCAGAAACTACGTGATATAAGAGCATAGTTTTCAACATAGATCTCATTTTGGAGGTACTGGATGACCGTTTCGTCCCAGTATGGCACTCCTCAGAAGTGTGCATTCACGATCCCACACAAAAGGGAGTCGAACACGAACACTTAATCTCCAGATCAATGAGTCCTTATTCAATAGTGACTAACTTCGTGAGGTAACACTTGGAGTTCTAGTGAGAAGTTTTGAGCAGGATCAGGAGATCAACCGTGTCGGGTGTGAGGTAGGGTAGTTACTCACTGACGGTGATGGAAGATGATCGTACAATATCGTGGATTGGTTGAAGTTAGGCATTAATTCCGTTAGATGCCGGTTGACTGGATCTAGAGGTTAAGTGTTCATGTGTGAGACCGAAGGTATTAGGATGGAGTCCGTTTGGTTTTGGACCGTGGACGCGCACTTCTGATGAGTTCAATACTAGGACGAAATGTCTGTCCAGTGCTTTCACGTTTTCAATGGTGGTCTAACACTGATTGGTTTGTGATCTCAATTAGGCGGTATATTTTTTATCAAGTTACCAAATAAAAATCTGCTTATCTAATTTAGTCCTTGCTCACTGTTAATAATTAATTATACATTTTAGAGAACATTTGAATTTTGTTTCAATCTAATAAATAGCAATGATATTAGAAATGGTGCAGTACTTTTATTACTGGTATATAAAAAAATCCTTGGGCACCAAATTTTTGGTATTTTCTGAACTTGTTCAATAGCTAGAAGTGTATACACCGTAAATCTAAATGTTGTCTAGTCAGTCATATAGTGTTAATGAGCTTAATGGTGAAACAGGAATGAAACCTATGTCTAGTATTCTTGAATTGCCCTATTTTCATTGTAACTTGTTCAGTAGGAGTTGATGAATGCTTGGAAGTACACAAATATGACATTAAGCAAAGATGGCTAGTGGCTAGCAGTGGAATCCAGTTTGATACGCGTTTCACCGTGTTTGGGACTCGTCAGCTAGCTATTATACATCATTGCTTAAAAAGCTTGTGACTTAAGGCTATATCGATGTAATCCGCACAGGATTCACATATATACCAAGAAGAGACTGATCAATTGCAGTCCTAAATAACAATGAGAAGATACAAGTAAAACAACACCAAGTGAAATATGACATTAGTTACTGAAATCAGTGCTTAGTTTTCGGAAATATATGAAAAGTATGTGAAATACTATATAACTTTGTAATCTATAATTAAAGATTGTTTAGTGTGTAACTATCATGTACCCATGATTGAAACAGGAAGATAAATTAAGTATCAGTTAGGTGTTTCAAACAAGAGATCAATATGTTTTTTTGGTTTGTATAGATAATTAAAAACTACATTTATGAAAATAGGTCATCTTTAATTAGAATCAGTACTATCATTGTAAATTTTCCTTTAAAAGTACAATATAAGGTCAGACTGTCGTGAAAATTGTTCAGTTAGTTTCCAGCCCATTAGAAAATAGCAAACATAAGTGGGATAAACTTTTTAAGCAAAGATGGATAGTGGCTAGCAATGGAATCCAGTTTGACGCGCGTTTCGTTCTATTTGGGACTCGTTAACTGGATGTACGTGCATCTCAGAGTTGATGTTCACTCCGGGACTCTAACCCAGTACCGATGCAATCCGCACAGAATATACATATGCCAACATGAGACTGATCAATTGCAGTCCTAAATACCAATGGGAAGATAAAAGTAAAACAACATCAAGTGAATTTATAAGTGGGTTAGTTTATAGAAATGAAAATAATTTTGCATAGTATCATAACAGATTTGTTACAATTAGTGAACCTATTGAAATCTTCATATTACTGTACTTGTAAATGAAAAAAAAACAGACGACATGATAACTTGTCTTATGGACAAAAATCACTCTTCACCTAAATAGATCTCTAAAAGTCTCCACACTGTTTTCGTATAGGGTAAGGATTAGGATTGTAAGTCTAGGGTTTTTAACACAAACTAACATTAGCTATAAAAGAAACATGCCTGTAAGTCATATGGATGCATATATTTCGCGCGTAAATGTAGCGCAAATGCCTAAAAGTCACATTCTCAATTCTGGTTAGTTCGTTCTTGTACTTATACTTTATCGAGTACTAATACTAATAACAAACGCTTAGTTACAGTAAGCGATTTCTAGTACAAGTCATACAATATTCCAACTAATTCCTGTCATTTATCCATTTATGTATTATTTTATTTGAACACATAAATATTGGTACAAAGGGGCACCGATTACATATGCGCGACACAAGTCACTTGATTTGTGTTTGGGCTGTGATACTGTCCGGGTGCCCAAACCGAAGCAGGTGATTTTATTAGGGGGCCACACTCGGAGGTTTCGACCTAAAGGTCTGATCCACAAGGCATTGGAGCAACTTAAGGCGATGCATTCCCATGGTAGCCGGTTACCAACAGTAGGTTCATACACCATTTGTCCCTTCAGGATACTGAAGCCCATGTACATCATTGGTTTGGAATGAGGGTTTTCCAACTCCCCTAGGTGGGTCCTCGATACCCACTAAACCGGTTAAATCGTCGAACATTCGCTTTTCGTACTCTCAATCTCGTCGCGAAAAGGCAATGAATAAGACTTTCCTGTATGTGGTTGTATGCACGTGGCAGTGTGAGATGATTTCGAGATAGAGAGCTAACTCTCTCCACCTTTGGCCGTACCAGGGCATTTAGGGGCTTAGGGCCCGTCCAGGATATATATATATATATATTATTTATGGCTGGTCGTGAAAAGCGTGTTGGTATTTGATACGATATGTGCTGAATTAGAGTTCCCATGTGAACATCAATATAAATACACACGTCCTAAATCTCACTGCTAGTAATGATCCAAATAGTTTTAAAACTTTTAATTGAATGGAATATCTGGGCAATCCATTCATAATGTATGCATGACAATAGAGGTTAATCAGTCTCATTCCCTGATAACAGCAACAATAATAGGTAAATTCAAACTCTTACATATTTATCCATTTGACTTGTGAATATGCCAAATGTATGATTAAACATGATCACCTGTTTTCGTCTTCGTCTGAAAACCTTTTCAACTAGTGCTCAGTTCATGAATATCATAGATTATCATCAAATCTATTTCTTTAGGGTTCAGTATGGACCTACAATACTTGCGGAATTAGAAATGATTAATTAGTCTACTACTCTAATACAATCAGTTCTATTGTGTAAATCGATAACAACACCAAACGTACAAAACTTCAAGATTTGCTCGCTAATACATACAGAAAATGAATTGTACTTGATATTCGAGATAGAACAAGTAGAACAGGATAAAATGGTATAACTAGAACATGACATTCAGGGATATTTTATACGGCTAACATAAATCATGAATTCGTTGTAAAAAAAAAAGTCGAATCAGGTTTAAACAAGCTACATATTATTTATCTTTTTTAGTACTTAGTTCATGTATTTACTCTTTTCTCTTTTGTATCAAGATTATTCAATACATATCGTGATAATAAATATGTATACATGTTATTAGAAGCATGTTTAGGCGGTGAATTATGGACTATACTTCGTGATAGGTAAGTTATTATTATCTTAATAGTAAATGTGAAAAACAGTAAGAGATAAACTATATCTATTTTTGTTATTAGTTGTGATGTTCCGTTGTTTGTGTTTTAGCGTTTGATCACTTTTTATTCTTTTTTGTTTTGTTTTGAAAACGGATTACAGTCTCATTCTTATTGATATGTTGTATACTGGAATAGTAGAAGTAGTACAAGTTAGGTCAGCGGTAATGAAGAATAAATAAACATGAAGGATGTTATTCAAAAAGAAAGAATTGGCAACATTTCTAAAGGAATTTTGAAGATAAGAAGTGAATGCATTTGCAACAACCAAGTCAATCAGTGTCCCCAATCATTATTGGTCATGATAATTGCGCCAACCTCGATCAATTAGTCTAAACTTACCAACATAGCTAAGACCAACAGTCATTATCAACATAAATTGATGGCACATCTTAATTTGACACTCCTCGTAACTTACTTTCAATCTATTCTCAAACTAGTCAACATTAGAGATCTAGATGGAAGGTTGTGGGGTTTACATAAGGCATATCCCAGTCACTTCAGTCGATGGAGAGTCGCAATCCTGTTAACCGATTAGTCCTATTCAAAGCCTCTAATTATGGTTTACGATAATTTCACGAACTCTAAGCATTTAGTCTATATCTATCCACACAACTCACTTCAATAGTCATTGTCTTCATAGACTAATGCCATATGTTGTTTTGAACGTTTCTGGCTTTCTTCCATCCTACTCCTACATCAGCCACCATTGTATGTCGAGTTAGTGCGTAGATGGACATACGTAATGTATGTTCTAATCATCTCAGTACATAAAGAATCATAACATCATCAGTCGATTGCCCATCTGCTATGATTTCTCTTATTACGACCCAACTATTCCTATTACTTAATATTCTTGGACATCAATTCACTCGACAAGTCCCCAAATTAGAACACAGTTGAACAGGAGCGAAATTTTATACCAAATAACAATGGTAGATGGAAGTAGGAAGCATAATAAGAAAAACGTTAGTATATTTATAACTTTTACATAAGAAGATTCTAGAGTCTTCTCCAAGTATCGACTAGCGCTGATTGGCTAGAAAATAGTCAATCAGCGTGCCGCAACACAATCCCTCAAGGAACGTGCTTTAATCCAATATATATTCCGCTAACACCATTCTCACCTATTACTCTCCATCTAACCTCACAATAGCTAACTCAATGGTCCAAAAAATGTTTCGAGGTCACCTATGATCGAATACTAATAGCCTGCAGCGATTTCTGCGGCAATTTGGAAGGCTCTCCCGGTGTCCCACATTGTACGAACATTCCATGTACCTAAATAAATGGTTGCTCTGATTGTCAGAAGGGGCATCGACCTCATGGCTTCCGAAGGAATTCGGCTTTTACCATAAGGCGTCATAAGTCTTCTAAATGAAGATCTTCCAACTCCCAGGACAGAGTTTAAATGGTTTGAATAATTTTTTCTGGTTTGCGTTTTTTAGCGAATTAGTTTTCTACGGGATGGGGTCGCTAACCCCATGCCCAACCCTCCTCCTTTATCCGGGCTTGGGACTGGCAGTAAACCCAGAGGGGCTCATAAATTAGGTAGAGTTGATGATGTGATGGATACTTTTTTAAAACAACGTTTCAAACAAAAACAAAGCATATACATATTCTGAATGCTGAACTGACAGATTTACAATGTTTCATTATCAGTAGTATATTTTTAAGCCAAAAAAAACAAAACGAACTTTTTTTTTGTGGTACCTTTTATTTTTACATATATGAGTGAAATGTTTTATTTACCTTGAACAATGTAGTCAAAAGTTTGTCAATTATTTATATTAGAGATTTAGTTTTTGCAATGCTCTTATGGATAGAGCATTCAGCTTTCAACCAAGTAGGTCACAGGTATGAATCTTGTCCTTTTTTGTCTTACATTAGTTAGGGCAACTAATTAGCATCACTAGTTAACTGTTAATGCACGTTCATTGTATTTAATTCAATATCATGTATCCTATGTTATTATTAATGAACATTGGACTGTGAGAAAGAGTAGCTCTTTTTTTTTCTTCTGCTTCTTCTCTTTCGAATAGTCATCATCTTGAAGAACGTACAGCAAGATTTTGTTTGGCATGTTGTATTGAGGCATTGGATTACTTACATCGTCATGGAATTGTCTATCGTGATTTAAAACCAGAGAATATGCTGGTCACATCCAAAGGTTACATTAAATTAGTAAGTTAGTTTGTTTATAGATAAATAATTCAGTTTATTTTTATTTTTTATTTTCTACTTGTGGCTAGTATGCTTTACGGATCGATGGTGAATAGAGTGTTGTAAGAAACTATGGAACACTGGATAGATGTTTCTCTGTGGTGTAAAACTCATCAACAGTTCGTATCTATGACCTTATAATCATCTGTTGCATTCCCTGGTTATTCTCTTGCTCCTGAGACTGATGAACTTCCCCACTGGAATTTGGTGTATTTATCTCCAAGCAAACATTCATGGCGTGACGGAGGAGTATTAAGATTAATTTCATTTGATTATGGTATTCAAAACGGACTGATATAGGACCTATTAGTGCGAAACTGCGGTTAAGTCTTCACTGATTTCCTATGGCACCCCAAGTAAAGTTACTGCATGACTTCTGTCGTGTATAAATAATAAACTAATGTCTTCAAACTATTGATTACAAATACAGATGGTATCAAGAAATTAATGTAAATGTATTTTTCAAAGATTCTATGAATCTTGGCAGCACACATATAAACTGAAATAGTTTTACAGGTTGCTATTGATGTCAGAAGTTTGGAGACAGTTGCCAGGGCGTCCTGTTTAACTTGAGTTTTGTTCTAGTTGACATTTGTCAACAAGGCATATTACTTATAATCTTAAGGGAAACCGGTATTTCTTTGTAAAGTTCGAACTCTTATCACCTTGTTCCACAGTCAGAGAGATGTTACTACTAAGCGGTTCTGGGTATTTTCTAGAATAAATTTAGTCTTAATGATTTATAATGAAACCTTCAGATGTTTGGACATGATCTTCGCTTGGATTGTTGTAAAGAAAGGTTGATCTAATGAGTATTTCTGCGTCTAATCGGGACATCAACTGACGAATATACATTGTTACTTCCCACAAGATTAAGTATTAATCAATGTAATCTATATTTGGCTTTAAGTACTGATTGAATTAGGTCGATTTATTGAGGGATTAATATTTTGATCCTAAAGGGAATCAATTGGAATCCAAGTAGCTTAATAGTAGTTTTTTGTTTATGACACTGGTCGACGTGAATTTGAATTTCGCAAAGTGTATAAGTTCCCTCAGAATTTCAAGCAATATCCCACTTGTTAATGAGTTCCAACCGGCATTAAACCTTGGTGAAATTAAAGCTTCTTTATCGACTATCAATAGATTTTATTACTGACTAGTAATTTAAGAGAATCAAACTATAACTAGTGTACAGAGTGTCATGTTGAACAACTGCATTATTATTATAATATTTGTGAATCATTTAGTGTGATTTCGGATTTGCCAAATACATTGGAATTGGTCAAAAAACATGGACATTCTGTGGTACACCAGAATATGTTGCACCAGAAGTAATTCTTAATCAAGGACATGATTTCGCTGCAGATTATTGGTCGTTAGGTATTTTAACTTTTGAATTACTTACAGGCGCGTAAGTACATATATTATCTTTTTTGTTGTTGGTTTAATTAATCACTCTGTATACCAAGATACCTTTTCATATTGATAATAGAATATAAACTGTTGTTGTGTTGGTTTCGTTTATATTCAGGTAACTTTTAGTGACTCTTTATCTGACTCGAATAGGATTGTACGATGATTACTATCGGATTGTACATCCTGACTACTCTCGTATATAATCATCGACTTAAATATGGTTAGTGAATAACGGAATTAAATAAGTCAAATACGAGGATGGATTTCAAATACATATATTTTATACAATCATTGATCCAGACAGACGATTAGAAAAAACTAAGCGAAGAAGAGAGAGCGATGTGGATCGTAATGAAGTGTAGTGGAATTGGTTCACTCGCCTTCTCCACTGAGTGTCATTTCATTTCGCTTTGCTCTCTCCTCTTCACTTCCTCTTTGTTTCCCTGATTGACTGTCTGGATCAACGATTGTATGAAATATACGTATTCAAACTTGATTCTCATATTTGACTTATTTAATTCCGTTATTCTCTAATGCGAATTGAGTTGATAACGATATACGAGAGTAGCTGGGATGTATATTTCTATATCAATCATTCATACGATATAACTGGAATCAGATATCGGATAACTAAAAACTTTAAAGATAAATGAATGAAATGTAACTAGATATAATTGGTTTAACTGGTTCAATTTATCTTATCAATAAATTAGTTAGTCGGTAATAATCAACGTAAAACCTATTGCTTAAATGTAGATCTCAATAATTTGCCACATTACATTAGTATCGCTATGAGTAACAGAAAAGTGGATATTATATTTTTTTTAAAAACAAGGGATGAATCTTTAAGATATAAACCATTCAATAATACTCAAAATCAGAACATCTCGAGGATGATAGTGAATGAATACATCTACGCTAATGTGACTGCACTGGAGTTATGTAATCTTAAAATCTTCAACGATTCGTCATGACTACTGTGCAAACTCTGACCAGGTGGGTAGTCTGCAGCTGTCAATATGAGTCAGATCAACAATCACTTATTTATGCCACATTTTATTTTGGACTCCTCTGACTTTATTCCATTCTACTCCTGTTAGTATTGTGCGTTAAGTTAAGCTATGAATAGGTATAAGTGACATAGAGCTTAGCTACCTCAATCAATGACAAACTCATATCCACATCAGCTCATTTATAGTTTTTAATTGGTACTTTACACCTAATATCAGCATTACTCACTTATTTTGTGGCTCTATCAAATGTAAAGAATACTTAGAAGACATATATGATCAAATTCAAATTCATAACGTTAAAATAAGCATGAAGTTAACTGTTATTATTATCATCTGTTGAGGAGTCCCGAAATATCCCTTATCAAAGCCTCCAGAGGCCCAAAAGAAGCCTGAAGATGTTTTATCCAATCAACATTGAATAGAAGCTTTTCGAAAGAATCTAGATAAATGAGGAATTATGTGTTGCGTTTTAATTAGGTAAATACCTGTATCGTTACTATGTTTGCTGTGTATGTTTCAAAAAAGTTTTGCGAGATCAATTTCGCATGAAACTTTATAAACACTCGAGTTCATTGCACATAACTAACTGAGAGTGAAATGCTTACTTGCATTTCACACCTTTTTCTCTATGGTTCAATTTGAACTGTAGAATTCATCTGGAGTTATAAAAAGTCAGTAATAAGCGTTCCAGTAGCAGACCCTACCATGTTACTCTTTGAATATTATCAAAAATGGTGGGATGAACAATGGAATCGAAAACACTAGGATAGTTTGTAACCGATTGACCTTAGTGACCAATATGATTTATGTAAAGTCCTTCTTCGTGCAGGTTGAATTCTATCGATCGAATTTCCATGTGACCAGTACTAGTCTAAGTGACTTGATACTACATATACTACGTTGTAAGTTGGTGGTTGTAGTTGATAGAAAACGCTACTTTACCTAGATGTTGTGCTGTTTGGCACTTGTCAGCAAGGTGTACCTGTAATCTTAATAAGACTAATGTTCCTTAGTGGATTCGATCCCGTGTCACATAGTTTCACTTGATTGGTAGGGTTCAGTCAGCACTTAGAAGGATTTAACATTGACTAGTACTCAGTGATCTATCAGTCCTACAGGAGGTCAGACTTGGCCCAAAACGTTCAGTGGTAGCGCTTATGATTATGAAGTCGGGTGACTGGGCATCATTTCTCTTGAGATTACATCTTTCTGATGAGTACCAAATAGCACGAAACCCAGATGGAGCATAATTTCTTGACGACTACCTCCAACCATTAACTTAAACGATAATAATAGTAATTGTAATAAAAACAAGCGATAATAATAATAATATCCAACTCATATGATTATTGTCACATTCTTTTATTACGTTGTTGTATTGACTTGAAAATGATTTTCATAAGTTAATCAAGCAGTATAAATACACCCAGTATATATTTGTAATATGTCCATGTCTAGGCCCATTATGATTATGACTATTATTTCCGTTATAATTAACAGTATCAGTAAAAGTTTATCAATTAAAGTAATAAGAGTGGGTATGTTGTCGTGTAGCATATGAAGAAAACAAACAAGAACAAAGAAAATATACAATTCCTTTGTGTGTTGTTGTTGTTGTTGTCTGTGGTAGCCCCTCCCTCTTGTTTTTATTTATTACTGTGGTAGTTGAGGGTGTTGGTGCATGAATGAACGGGTTAGTTGAGTTTTAATGGGAAGATGATCATTCAATATCAGCAGTCTGGATAATATATTGCATAGTGTAACTATGATGAACTACAAATATCATAGTTATAAATAATACAATATCAGAATAATCAATATATATATATATAGATAGATAGCTTACACATCACGATGATACATTGATTCGTGCATCTCTGTTGTAAACTTCCTTGTTTAATCTTAATGGAGAAAAAAAACGAAGAGAGAAACAACTACTCATTCAGTTTTTATACGTTTTCTCTCGTCAATAATATCGGTTTATTGAAGACATATTCTATTCATAGAAGGTGAATCAGATGTGTTCATAAAAAGGAACTTGAACAAAATCAATACTTTGTGGATATAGTTGACTACGGTGATAGGGTGAATTATTCAAATGCTCTATGTATTATGATCTCTTTTGGGGCACTTTCTATTGGTCAATATTTTAAGAATTGATATTTTTTACATTTATGAACATCTAGTATTGTCAAAGCAAATGTATAATTGAGATACAGTAAACCAATCGAACTTTGATCTACCCTTGGTCTACCCAAGAGATACATGCTATTGATTGAGCATATGGCTTACAGATATCTTTTAATTCGGTTTGACCGATAAAGTTTTTTACTCTCAATCTTGTTATTGAAGTAGCCGGTAGAGCTCGCGCGTAGGAAGCTTGTGTATGAATATCGCAATAGGACATCTCACATCACAAGATATTGTCAGCAGTTCTATCTGAGCTTACCTACTTCGGACGAACTATAAGAGTATGAACCGTTGACTAATCATTTTTCAGTCTACTCTTTTTAACAATATGGAGATTTTAGTATTTTCACATTTGAAATCACTAGTTGATCTTAGCTAGACCACCATTAGAAACCTGGAAGCACTAGTCAACCGTTTCATTCTGGTATGACACTCTTCAGCAATGCGGATACACGATCCCACATGCGGGACTTGAGTCCGGGACTTTCGGTCTCGTGCGTGAACGTATATCGCTTAACCACTTTAGACAATTGATGAAGACTTGCGCAAGATCATGAATTGATTGAAGTTAGACATTAATACTGTTAGATGCTGACTCATTGTTCTGGAGGTTTAACGTTTGCATGCGAGACCTAAAGTCTTGGGTTCGAATCCTGTGCACGGGATCGTAGATGCACACTGCTGAATGGTCTCATACTAAAACGAATTAAACCTTCTAGTGCTTTCAGGTTTTCAGTGGTGGTTTAGCTTAGATCGACTCGTGATATCAACTGTGAAAATACTATTTTTAAATTGATATCATTTAAGTTCACGTTTTTCGCACTATAGAAATTATAGTCGGTTTTATTGAACTGAAAAACCAATGAGTAAAATTCTAGAAACAATGATAATTAATGGATATGTACTTTCTGTAACTGATGAAGTAATTTCACACAAAATTTTGATCAGTAGGATCGGACAGTGGGGCGTGTTAAATTTAAAACGACAGAAAACCACTAGCTAACTAACTGATTGTAAAACAAATTCATCAGTTAACTATCTCAAAATAGTAAACCTGTGTAAACTAGATATGTAGCCAACAAGATTAATTGTCATATTCATTATTTATCATATGAACTAATGTTGTTTTCCCAAATAAAAAGGCACCTATTTTGAAACTTCAGAATTAAGGAATCAGTAGAAATATTATTTATACCAAAATGATTAACTTCCATGATTCTAACTTATAATTATTCATAAGAATAGTATTTGTACTACTGTGTTACATTATAGGTGTTGGTAACAAGTCCTAGCAACTAATTGAATAGGTTATAAATAGTTGAAATGGGTGAAGTTTCTTCCGTACATATCAGATAAATTAATCAATTCATCCAATCTATTGTAATTAATCTTAGCTTGTTTAACACATACACCATGTAAACTGAATTGTATATTAAAGTTTTGAAATGTGATCATTAATGTAAGTGAATTATTATTGTTGTTATTGTTATGGTTGTTTGATAGATAACTCATTCACAAGGTACTTGGCTTATGAGTTATCCTCTAAGTGTTTGGGGACTATTGATATTACTCGGTTGGCTAAACTGATAAAGTATTGAGACGGATTTCGAATTAGGGCTTTAATATCTGAAAGTTGAATGCTTTAATTATCAAACCATTAAACTAGAAAAGGACAACTCTCGTCAATCAGCAATTATTTTATCTGTTTATATGCGTCCAATCGAAGAATGTATAAAGGTAATCAATAACAATCACTTACATGAACTATTACATCAATTTCAGTGACTGATTGCACATTTCATACTTAAACATTCATCATTTGTCTGCTATAAATATAGTCTTTATTTCATTTGGTGTTGTTTTACTTGTATCTTCCCATTGTTATTTAGGACTGCAATTGATCAGTCTCTGTTGATATATATGTGCATCCTGTGTGGATTGCCTTGATATAGCCTTAAGTCACAAGCTTTTTTAAGCAAAGATGGGTAGTGACTAGCAGTGGAATCCAGTTTGACTCGCGTTTCGTCCTATTTGGGACTTGTCAACTGAGTGCACCTGCATCCTAGATTTGATGTCTTTATTATTTAATAATTTGACATTAATACTTTTTTTGTAAATGGATTAAGTAAGGTAAAGAATTTCATCTTCTTTTATCCATCATTAATATTGCATGGATTCATCAGTTGATGAGGAATTAAGATCATGTTTATCTAGTTCTTAGCAGTGACTCAATTCTACCAATCAAGTTGTAACTTAGCCAATAGTCATATGTAAATGATTTGATATCACTTATGTCTTATGTTTTGATGCCAATTTATGGTCATAGAGAGAATTTACATGAATCTTTATTTTATATATGTTTAGTGCTAGTTTGCGCTCGTCAATAAAGATTCGTTGGAATCTTAAAGGAATTGATCGAAATACACAATGTTCCATTGAAAGATGTCACCTTGGAGCAGCTCTGACTGAAATTAAGATGTAACATATGATATCTATGACCATATCGTTTCTATGTTTATTAAATAAGGTATATTGATTAATTTGTATGAATTATTCATGTTCAGTCCTTCAATTTTTTTCTTCCTCCCATCTGTATACTCCTCCACACAACCACACGCACTCAACATTTAGTCCACCATTTCAAGCATCAGAACCAATTAAAATTTATATGAAACACTGAAGGGTATCGATGCTTTGGGTTTGGCACAAAACAAGTATATCAGTTTAAAAGCTTTACAATTTATTCGACGATTATGCCGATTTAATCCATCCGAAAGATTAGGTGTTGGTAAATACGGAATTCAAGAAATACGTAGTCACAAGTAAGTAATGATTATTTTCATTATTGGTGTTATAAAAGTAATTTGACATACTTCATATTAACGTTGAAGATGTAGACCATATTTGATTACAACTCAGTAGTCCAAAGGTGCTTCGGTCGGGTGATAAGACCTAAAAGTACTGAGTTTGATCCTTGTGAAGTTAGATAATGAGTGGAAAGTGATGAGGTGCATTTTAAGATGAAATAGTGGTCGATGGTTTGAAATAATTGTCTAAATGAAGTTAATCCAAATTACACAGTAAACAATCATCCATATTAATTACCAACTTGATATGAATTTGACAAAAAAGTACTATTTACCTGTTTGTTTTCTCAGTAAAAAGGTGATTGATTTTTTAATTTGATTATGATTTGAACCAGAATTCATGTTCACCAAATGCCCTGGTACGGCTGAGAGTGGGGAGAGTCAACTCTCCTAGAAATGCTCGAACATGTCCACGCGTATACAGCCACTGTCAGAGAAGTCCTACTCACTGCCCCCTCGCACCACGAGTGTTGTTTATGAAATTGAGAGGACGAGAAGCGAATGTCAGTCGCTTTAACCGGGTTTGTGGATAAAGAGGATCAATCTAGGAGAGTTGGAAAACCCTCATTCCAAACAATGGTGTACATAGGCTCCAGTATCCTAAAAGAACAAATGGCGTATGAATCTATTGTTGGTAACCGACTACCATGGGGCTGCATCTCCTTACGTTGCTCCACTGTCTTGTGGATCAGGCCTCTAGGTCAAAGGCTCCGTGTGTGGCCCCTAAGAAAACCACCTGTTTCGGTTTGGGCACCCGGCAGTATCCAAGCCCTCACAAAAACATAATGATTTGTGTGTTTAAATAAATAAATAGATGAATAATGTCATTCTCATATCCCAATTTTATTTAAGAATGTTTAATTTTATGTTCCGTATTTATACACTGTCTGTCTTCCCGTTGCACATTGAATAGAACATGATTATTATACGAATAGTTTGTTTTTCCTGTTATCTGTTTTAATCGCTAATATATATATATATATATATATATATATATATATATATATATATATATATATATATATAGCGTTCTTATTGGTCCTATGCTCATCTAACCCGTCCAGTGAAGTCCTGGACCCCAGTAACAGCTTCCACTATGCATATCGTTTACTTCAAACATACCTGGTTTATATAAAAGACAAACAGACCATATCACACTATAAAATAGGAAATAGCATTTATACAAAATAAAGCCAAAAAGTGGCTATACACGTAGGAGACTGTAATCAATAAACTGAACATAGCTTAAGAACAGTAAATCGTATAATAATAATCTATAAATCAAAATGAAACTTATAATAAGAGGAATATAGATATACATAATCTAGTTACTGAATGATTATACAACAAGGATATATATATATATATATTTATATATTTATATATTTATATATTTATATAATATTGGTCCATTAATAGTCCTCAGAAGGTGCCCATCGTTTAATCTTTACTAGAACATAACAGTTATTGTATTTTCACAGTTGAATTCACGAGAAGTAGGAGTCCCATACTAGAACATAACGACCATCCATTGCTTCCAAGTTTTCAATGTTAGTCTAGCTTAGATTGACTCATGAGTTCATATGTGAAAAAGAGATAACATTATAAAACTGATCTGAGATTTCTAAAGTCTAGAGAAGATTACGTAATAATTGACAGGTTAAATAGAAAATGAAGGAATGAGAAATAATGTATGGGTCAGAAATATAACAGATAAATAGTTCTTTAAGTAAAGATGGATAGTGGAATCCAGGACGCGCGTTTTGTCCTATTTGGGACTCTTCAGTTGGATGGACCTGCAATAACAATGGGAAGATACAAGTAAAACAACACCAAGTGAATTTGACCTATTACCATTATTAAGTTATTCTCAATCTATTAGTCACAGTTTCTCACAACCAGAGCCATTTCGGGCTTAACCTTGCATAATTGTTATTTCTTATTTATGGTATGCTATGGTCTAGTTGACTTGTATATAAACTGCGTATGTCTGAAATATATGATTCGTATAGCAGATATTGATATGGATGTTTTGGACTAAACCGACTAAGTTAGACGAAAAGCTGCTATCTCTGTGGATCAATAAGAACTCAAAATTTACTGTGTACTACTCGTACTTGTTTATCCGTCATTATCCCTGGCCATAAGAACATAACAAAAACAACAATAATAACTTGTACTTATTCATGATCATTTCAACTTCTCTCTTTTCTAGATATTTTCAAGGATTTGATTGGGCTGGTATAGTTAAACAAACACTGACTACTCCATTCAGAGTTAAAGTAAGCATATGTGTTGTCAAGTACTGTCATTATCCGAATATTATTATACTTTCATTGTTCATCACAATTTTGTTTATGGTTCTTACTTTATGCTCATTAATGAGTGCTTCGATGAAGCTAAAAACAAAATAGAAATATTATGGAAGGATGTCACTATTCAATGCTCACACACACACTTTTCATACGGAAAGTAAACGAATTTGTCTGATCATACTTTTGTATTTTGATTATTCTCACTTATTTGAGGCGTGTGTGTGTGTGTGTGTGTGTATGAGAGAGAGAGCAAATGAGACGATTGTTGTTGTTTCTTGAGAATCATATCTGTATTTTCACGCCAAAGCTGTTTTGAATGTCACTTATTATCATGAAGTACTCTAGATACTAATATGTTTAATTGATTAATACAAAAGAAAATTTTTTTGTTTTTAAGTGTTCCTATGTATTAAAAGACAGTGTTGATCTATTGTCTTTGTTGTTGTTAGATTTTTCGCTGAGTTCTTTTCATCGTCATGCAACATTTTATCATAATTCTTTTTCGTATAATCATCATGGTTTCATCCATGTATATTTTCTTTTCCTTTCAAATCTAATTCATAGTTGAATGGACCATTGGATCATTCGAATTTCGATCGTTTCACAATGGATGAACAAGAAGCTCCAGATGAATTATCAGGATGGGATGCAAATTTTTAAATTTATTCATAAATACGTACATACCTGTGCAGGTACATCTACAGACACACACACATATATATATATACACGCTGACATTCATCTTGTCTTTTTTCTATTTATAATTTGTTGAAAGCCAGAAAGGACCAATGAATGCATGAATGAAGTGATGAATGATTGAAGTACTGAATACAACTGTACAATTATCTTACATTGTCTTCTTATCTCTCTCTCTCTCTTTCTCCTTCTCTATCTCTCTTATCAATACTGTTATTTTGATCAGATGATACTGTAGATTAGTCTGTATTTAATGGATGTATGTTCAGTTTTTTTTTACTAGATGGTCAACGTATAATACTTATCATTTAAGGTTGATGCGATCCATTTCCCCTCTTTTCTCTCTCTCTCTCTCTGTAATTATTTTCTGACATGAATTTTCAAGTATCGAATCGAATCCGTTACCAATATAGACTGTAAATTCTTGAGTATCTTCTATTACATGTATTTATGTGTAGGTCTATAAGAACTATGCCTTAGCTTGCGTGTGTGTGTGTGTGCATGGGTTGTGTCTGTTTTCTTTTTTTGTTGTTGTCGGTCGACATGTCTGTATGTCTACTTTTTTTTTTGATTATCTAACAATTTCATAGAAATAAGAAGAGAGTTATTTGTTTTATTTATTCATTTCTAAACAATTATTTCGGAGTTTTGATTAATTCAATTGTTCATGCATATTGAATATAGAATAGCAACAAGAAAAGGAAGTGTGATAAGTGAATTTATTCAGAGAGATACTAAATAAATTGACCCCCCTTCTTCTTCCCCCCCATAAAAGATACAATTGTTTATACTTCTCTTTTATTGTTTTTATCAATCAGTTATTTCAACTGATTCCTGTTGTTGTCATCGTCATCATCATCGTCGTCGTTATTTTCAGAATATATATTTTTCTTTCTTGTTATACAAAACAATATAGATGATTACTATAATGTTAAAAATATGTGCCTCATTGTTGATGTTTTCTTCCGCTTCCCTTCTTGATTTTCTCTGGTTTTCTTTTGTTTACTTCTTTGTTTTCAATTCTATTCTAAGATGAAATAATACTGCTGTTTTGATCACTGCTGACTTATGTTTACATGATACACGCAAACACACATATACCTTTCTTTTTTTAAAAAAAAAATGAAGAAAGAGCTTATTCATGTTTGTCTATTTCCTTCTGTATGTGTGTTTGCGTGCATAACAATGTTTACAACACAAGAACGAAACATGAGATGATGACTGATTATAGTTGACGGTTACGATTTTATTATTCGAAGAGAATGTAGATCATTATCGTTGTGATTGGAATATAACAAGACATGGAATAAACCATGATTACCAATAATGCTCGGGGTTTCCCTATTCTTATTGGTCATATATATATTGTATACATAGAGGAAGAGAGTGATTTTTCACAACATGAAATTAACAAAGTAGAATAATTCTTCCCACCATTCATATCGATGCTATTGTATACCTCTATCTGGCTATATCATTATATAAGTTACATTCAGATTTTCCTATCTTGTTCTTGGATATATTTTTATTTTGTGAAACCCTGATACAGGTAGGCAGATAGATAGGTAGGTAAATAGAGATGTTTATACATATGCATGCATGAATGCCCCCAGAATCGACTCTGTCGTTTCAATTTCCTCTCTCTCTCTCTCTCTCTTTTTGTATGTGTATGACATAACAAAACAGATGTAAAACAAGCGGAATAAAATATACAAAAAGATTTCGATTATTCCATTGGAATGATTGATAATGATTATGTTTATTCATCGGATGTGTTTGAATGATTTGTATAAATTCAATTA